CCTCCTTGGGTTTCTGAGGCAGTATCATTACGGAAGTAGATTGCCCCATCTTCCTTCCAAGGAGTGGCTGGTGGGTTTGAACCAACAAATCAAGTGCCTTAGCCACTATGCTACCAGAGCTCCTGCATTAGATAGTTTTAAGGCAGTATGGGGCTGGGACTTCCGGTAAGATGGAAGAATAGGCAGACAAGTGACACAGATCCTCTTCAACAAAGAAAAGAAAAACCAACTGACAGAGATATGGAAGATAATCCTGGAACCCCGAGCTTTGAAAGGAACTATACAGAAGTAGATTAGGCACCCAACTAGTGGAAAAACCTGAATGAAACAGTGAGTACAGAGATGGTTGGAGCTGCAGACTGTCAGCTACTCTGACAAGACGAACAGCCTGAATATTTCCAAGCGATGTTGGGACCTGAGAATTGACCTAAAGATCAGTCCTGGTCACCAAGGGCTGTATGGACAACTGCTCTGGTGGCCTATGACTAGGAAGGGCAACAGTAATGAGGGAGACAACCTGAGCTATGGACTTTCTGCTCTCCGGAGAGTGCAGCCATTTCGATTGTTTACACGTGGCAGCTATTTTGATATTTAAAGTGACCAAGGGCGCAGCCATCTTGAATGTTTACAAGTGGTGGCCATTTTGGATATTTAGAGTGACCGAGGGTATAGCCATTTTGAATGTTTACAAGTGGGGGCCATTTTGGATATTTAAAGTGACTGAGGGCATAGCCATTTTGAATGTTTACAAGTGGTGGCCAATTTGGATATTTAAAGTGACTGAGGGTGCAGCCATTTTGAATGTTTATAAGTGGCAATCATTTTGGATTTTAAAGTGATAGTATTCTCACTCAGATTCCAGGGACCTAAGAACAGGCTCTGTTTGCCAGGGTTGGCAAAGACATAATGAGAGGCTGACAACAGGAAAGGAGACTGGTGGTGAGTGTATAAGTGCTGTCAACTAGTGAATAGAGGAGCACAGCACAGTACCCTGTCTGTATAGTAACATACAAACAGAACAAAGAAAACAAAAATTGTGGGCAA